CGGGATTACAGTGGTGAAAGCAGGGCTTGGTTCAATTAAAAATGAGCTGAAGGCATGAGGCTGTGTCATCCTCCTTCCTTCCCTCTCCCAGGGTGAAACGTGTGACCGTCGATTTTAAAAAGACAGTTACATTCCCTAAAGAGCCAAGCTCAGTTTGGGTGTGTTAAAAGGAACAGCACCACCAGAGGCTTTGGAGATCCAGGGACATTGCAGTCCTAAAGAACTCCTGGCACAGTTTGGTTTGTTTTGGTTTTTTGTTTTTCTTAAATTGTGGGGCAGACAAGTGGTATAAAGGGAAAAATAACTGTCAAGAAATATTTTTTCATATAACAGCTTTATTGTGCTATTGTTCACACACCATGAAGTCCATCCGTTTAAATGGTACAATTCAGCAGCATTTAGCATATTCACAGTTGTGCAACCATTATTATTCCAGAATGTTTTCTTCACTTCAGAAAGACCAGTGGAAATGAATGACCTATCCACCGCTTCCCAGTGGTGGTTCTAAAGAAGTTTCTTGGCTGTTCCTGACCATAAATTAACTTGTTACATTCCATGAAATATCTGGTAAGAATTCTAATCAGAATTGCAATGAATCTGTCTGTCAAAACAGGAAGAATTAATGTCTTTATGGCATAAACTTCTTCTACCCATGAATATACCTGGGACCCTATCTTTTCATCTGTCCAGAGCCAGGCCCATGGGAAGTCCTCACTACTTTTTGGGCTTGTGAATGATGAGGTTCTATACATCGTTAGTTGCAACTGTAGCCTTTCACAGAAAAGAAAATTATCCTCAGTGAAGTCAAGTGATTCTCTGATGGTCAGAAAGAGTGACAGTCAGTCCTGGAGTGATCCAGTGGACTTGGTGCTTGGAACCAGAAAGCTCCACAACCTACAGCTAAGGGGATTTGAGTGTTCCTTTATTTTTTCTTAATGGCGTTGCTTTTATTTTTACTTATTTTTTTAAATTATTTTTTATTGAAGTGTAGTCAGTTTACAATGTTAGTTTCAGGTGTACAGCAGAGATTCAGTTATAAACATATGCATATATATATATACATATGTTTTAGATTTTAGTACAACTCATTACAAGTAATTGAATATAGCTCCCTGTGCTATAT